TCCCCTCCCCTCCCCTTCCCTCCCCTCCTCTCCCCTCCCCTCCCCTTCCCCTCCCCTTCTTACTCCCGTCAGGTATTTCGGAAATCATCAGTGCTTCGTCAGGTGTGCGTTCTCTGTCGGGCAAAGCGGCGTCGGCGAGGCGAGCTGTGAGCGCCGTTGGCTTTAAGAAACAGGCGTGCAGAGGGAGATCACAAGGCTGCGGTTGAGCGGAATCACTTTATCATACTGGTGGTTTTCGGTTTTGCCTTTTCTTCTATTTATGGATGCCTTTACTCGCCTCTTTTTGCCGTTTTACCTCCTTTTGTGAGTTATGTCCGTGTTCGAGAGAAAGGAACGAGGAGAGGGAAGAGAGAGAGGGAGAAAGAGAGATTAAGAATGTGAGAGAGTAAAAGAGAGAGAGATATACAAAACATGGTAGACAAAGAGAGAAAGAGTGAAAAAAGAGAGAGAGAGAGAGAGAGAGAGAGAGAGAGAGAGAGAGAGAGAGAGAGAGAGAGAGAGAGAGAGAGAGACTGACATACAGAGAAAGAAAGAGAGATAGACAGACAGACAGACAGAGAAAGAAAGAGAGATAGAGAGAGACAGGCAGACAGACAGAGAAAGAGAGAGAGAGGAAGAGAGAAAGTTAGAGACAGAGAGAGAGAGAAAGTTAGAGACAGAGAGAGAGAAATAAAGAAAGAGATACAGAAATAGAGAGAGAAAAAAAGAAATCGAAAGACAAAGAGAAAGAATCAAAAGCGAATAGAAAGAGACTAATCCCCAGCGCAGGCCGAGAAGCCGCCAGGAATAAAAGAGATAATAAAAGCGAAAATAAATCGCGGTTCTTCTCCCTCACACTCGCCATCCATCACGTCAGAGGCACGCGCGCCGACACACGCCCTCGACTCCGCCTCCCTATAAGACACGCTTTAAGGCCTTCATTTGCATAGAGAGGTAATTAAGTATGATTTATGTCTTCTTCTGACGTGGCGACATCTTTCCCCGAGAAGTGAGGTCGTGTTTCCGGGAAGGCGACTACTTGGTCCTTTCGTCTGGGTAGATTAGAGACAATTTCTGTGATTTTAGTGTCATAGAAGCGATGTTTTTTGCCTTTTCTCTTTCTCTTTGTCCTTCTCTCAGTCTCTCTCTTCGTTATTATCATTATCATTACTGCTATTACCAGCATAGTTATTATCATCGTCATGATTACTGATATGACTGTTAGTGTCATTGTTATAATTATCAATATTATTATTATTAGAAGTATTACTATCATTGCCATCATTATTATCATTATCA